TGGAAAAAAAATTATGAACAAATTAGGTAAAAAAAAAGTTGTATTTAATTTGGTAAATGGAAGAAAGCCAAGAGTAGTTTAAAAAAAATACTCTCACGACATGGCGACACATTTAAAACTTAATTAATTTGATTTTTTTGCTTGCTTAGTCTTGCATGCAAAAGACAACAACAAAAAGATATGTCTTTATCAAAACAAAAACTTTTTATTTCTTCCCTTCGTTCCGTTGTGTGTGTTTGTTTTTTTTTGGGTTTTTATATAAATAATTCTGAAGGCTCTCAGCGAGCATATTTTCGTTATATTTGCATGATCTTGTGAGGAAGTAAGGAATTCATTATTTTCAGTATATTTTTTTTTATTTTTTTGCTCCACTAAATATCATTCTTGGCACGCAATCATCAAAATGAACAACTATCATTAAAAATTTATAAGTGCTCATTTCAGTGCGAGTAAAGGCAGTGAAGCGAAGAAAGTTTTCCAAATAAAAAAAAAGCAAAGTTAAATTCCCTCAGGTAAAGAGCAACTCTTCATTCTCTTTTTTTTTTGTTCTTTGTTGCCTTTTGCCTTTGCCTTATCCAATGTTTTTCACAATGTAGCGAAAAGCTGAAGAAACGAGTGAATAAAAATAATAATAAAAAAGAAAGAGATTTCACATTACTCCAACTGTAATGAATGCCTTTTCTTCTGCCTCAAGTCTCGTGGAAAAAGGAACCAGCACATCTTCCCACATTTTATTTTCTATAGTTTATTCTCACCCTCTCTCTCATTCATGTTCTGTTCGACACAATGTGCCACAAGTGAACATTCGTTGCCGTTTTGCTTTGCTATTATTACAACTGTTTCCGTTCGCTCTGATAGATTAAAATGGAATGAGTGGATGGAGCAGCACACAAAAAAAAAGTCTAAAAAGTATTCACTTTTTTATTACAATGGGATTTTAGCATCTCAACAGTGATGATTCAAATGCTCCATTTAATTTTCATGTTGACGGCATTTGTATTTTTTTGTTGATGTTGAATCTAACACATATATAGATGTGCTGCTGCTTTGAACATACGAGTTGAACTGTTAAGAGTTAGTAAGAGACGACGATGAATGGATGGATGAAGAGGTGATACCATAAAAATTAAGTTATTAAACTGAGATTTCATCTTTCATCTGAATTTATGGATGAAGTTCTACAAACAGCCTTCGTTCGAAAAAACAGAACGGAAGGAAAAAATAGACATTGAGACTTTATGCCATCGATAAACGGCACAGAAAAAAGACTCTAGATTGTCTAGAGATTTCTTAGCGAATAAACATGTAAGCATATGAAGATGTGAATTTTCCACTTGAATCGTAAGGACCTTGTTACATGAGATGCTCACTCTCTATTTTTTTCTCACATAAAAATGCTTTTAATTAAAATATCCTATATACACATTTAAAAAAAGATCAGCTTTCACTGTTTACCCGTCTGATTGTTGTTGCCTCATCGTGATGATAAAGAGCAATATGAGCATTTTTTTGGGAGGAAGGATGGATGAAAAAGCTATGATATGCAAACATTCATGCTCTCAAAATTTTTGGGTATGTGCATAAATGATGTTTGAGTTTCAGGGGTTAGGGAAGTGAATCTCAAACTTTTCAGAGCGAGACACCAAATCAAGGAACACTAAAGCTTCGCATTTTTTGAGAATCACTGGGTTAGGGGCTAGTTTCTAGGATTTCCTGGGATAGCTTCCTCCAGAATAATCGATGTCATTTACTTCGTGCGGAAGTAATATATCCTAATGCAAGGGTGATCTGCCAGAAATAACAAAGGAATTACAATGTCTTAAAACCCTAGCAAAGCAGGGTTAAAATTAGGTTTCAGATCTCTAAATTATTCCGACCTTGATATTAAGGAATCCTCAATGCCTTTTAACTAGCTTTCACTTCAAACTTGCTACAAAACACTGATCTAACAACAAACATCATTAATGAACGCCCCCAAAGATTCTATGCAAGAGTTGTGGAAGAAAAGGATGAAAATATTTCAAAATTATTTTCAAGGACACATAACTATGAACTATTATTCTTTCCACCACTGCTCCTGTTTCTGTTGTTTGCTTATTTAGATCGTAGAGATGGTTAAAGCATTTTTTTCATGTTTTAATTTTATATTCTGTCGACCTTTTCTTAACATCATCTACTCCTTTAAAAAAATTGTACGAACAGAAGGAAGAGAGGACAAAAAAAATATGAAACATTTATGTTATGCTGTAAAATGTCGCTTACATAAATTTCCACAGTCATGCAAGAGTAGAATAATATTTAGCACATTTTTGCAATTAAAAGGGTAGTTTTTGTGTTCATTTTGGATGAGGTGTTTATGGAAACGGTTTGCTAAAAGCTGTTGAATAATGTATACCCAAAATTAATGACTGTTTCACGTGTATTAATTTTAAAATAATGTATCATTCTATTTAATTTGGGATAAAAAATTAAAGGGTAATGCCACATTATAGCAATTCTGCAGAACTGAAGGTATTAATCTTACTAAATTAAATTATTTAATTTTATATTCTCAAAAATTAAAGACATTGTATGATTTCAATTTGCATAAGACTTGATTAACATTCATTTTAATTCTAAATGAGCTTGCATTCAGACAGTTCAAAATTCTTTAACAATGAGTCTGGTTGCTGCAATCATACGAATGAAGGAGTATTGAAACTTTTAGGTCTTCCTATAATTTGTATTGAAGAGTTTTCAAACTTAACACAAAAGTAAACTTTTTCTAATGATTTCTTTTTTAATAAAGTTTTAATGATTTTAATTAACTTGAATCGATGAATATTTGAATGATGAAGTAGCTAGAAAGCTCAGTTGACAAGGTACGGGTCAAAAAAGATAGAGTTGAATTTGAGAATGTGGGTTTAAATCCCACCAACAGCTAGTGATTATCAAAAATTAAAATGAAAAAGAAACAAGATCTGTAAATTCTCAAGGATCTTTTATGAAGGAGCATTAAAGCATGCTGGCAAGATTAATTCATGGTACAGCCAATTGAGGATGTTAAAGTCGATATTCAGAAGAACAGAACTTTCTAACTGTGCATTCAGATTGCATTAATGTTAAAGCTAGTCTCTAAGCAAAAAGATGATTAATAATTTAATTTCAGACAGTCGACAGTTGAAGACTGCAGTCTGTAAATTAATTTGGGTCACAAATTGTTTTATTCGAACCTCCAAACTTAAGTCACAGAATTTAAAAAATAATTAAAAGTTTGAAAAATTAAATAATGTTCATAAAACTTCTTGGGTCATTCAGCAGCTGACCAAAAAATTCTCATAGAAAAAAAAATCTCCCCAAAAAAGCGCCAAAAGCTTTCACTTTCCTAGCAATTTTTACATGCCATCTCGTTCCTCTTTCATACTGTATGATATACAAAGTATTAAATTTATGTTGAACATGATTTTAAGAGCGACAGAGGCAGAAAAAAACTTTGTTTAGTGTGCAGCATATTTTAACATACTAAAGTCCTATTTTCATCCTCATATTCACGTAACTGTGATGCATATTTATCATGTTATACTTTATTTATATTTTTTTTTTTTGGATGATGAACAAGAACAACTTTTTCTCATCTATTTTTATAAAAGAATACACACACAGTATGGCATAGGGAAATAGAGAAAGAAAAAACAGCATAAGCGATAATTTTTGTTAATTTATTCCTTAAAAAATGTTAAACACAACTGCGTGAAATATGTTGTTGTTGATGCCGTATAATCGGTAGGTAAAGATAGATATATGTAGATAAAATAAATTTAAAAAGGATGTGGATGATGTGTTTCGGCATAGTCGAGATGGAAGATAGAGTTGAGAATAAGTGAGGAGGGAAAAAGTAGAATAAGATAAATGAGATGCATGTAAAATTTTCAAGCTTGAAATATACTTTATACAGTGTGTGAGCGTCTATTTACACAAGGGATCGTTCATTAATGACGTATGTTGGAATGTTGGATTTTTAGGACAATCCTCTTTTACAATTCATTTGATAATGAATTTAATTTTAATTTTTCTGCTATTCCTGTCATGTCAAATCAGAGCTTTTCGGGCAAAAATCGATAGATCATCAGAATATATTTCGCATGCTACGGACACGTCGAAAAATCCGTTATTTTTTGCTTTGAATTTCAAAAAACCGTTTAATTTCCATGAATATTTCTTGCAAACACTGGCAAAACCAAGGCTTGGGCAAACGATTCTTATTCTTAGCTTCGTGTTTAGCTAAGTTTAGCTAAAATCATCCAAGAAAAATACTAGAAATAAAAAATTAATGCTCAAAATCTTAAAATTGACAAACTTTTAACGGTTTTAAAATATTCAAACACTAGGCCGACTAAATTCAAACATGTCGAAAATATTCGACTCTGAAATGTCCGTAGCATGATATTTCGTATGACAAAAAAGGGGGCTTTAAGGGGAGAACAACATTTTGGAAAATGGTTTGGTGGAAAATTTTCAATACATTCTATTTTTCAACAATTTTCCACCGATGATGAGAAACTGAAGAAATTTTAATTTAATATTTTTTCCATCAGGTTATTTTCCCCTTGCAAAATTCATAAATTCGCCACTTATAGACGTCCATAACTTTACCTTAAGACTTATTTTTCTCTTTCTTGACTGTTCAACAATCAAAATAACCCCTTTCAAAATATGTGACATCATAAGTGAACAATCCCCAGCAAGATAACATAAAAGTCTTGAATAAGAAATTTTCAATTGAGGCGTAACAGAGCGACTTTATAGCATAATTGAACAGCATTATTGAAATTAAATGTAAATATATTCAAAGTTGATTTTTGAATTACAAACATTTCAAAAAAAAATTTCAGGTATAATCATGTATACCTACATACCTATATAACATCCACACACATAATTTTATATAACATTCATTACAAATCAAATAATTTGCTATTGAAGATATATTTGAATATAAGCTAACTTAAATATTGACTTACCGTAAAGTATTGAAGCTACGAAGCTCGTAAATACAATAAATTTGTAGATTGTTGGCATTCTAACCGGTGATGCTTACGACAAATGTTTAAGCCTGAAATAAAATACAATAACAAAAGAGAACGGCATTACACGATATTTCTATATCTATATATTTATGTACATACACGGCAAGAGACACAACGAGCTGTCATATTTGAGATGAAGAAAAAATATGTCGCTCTCTTATGCCTTCTCACTTTGTGCTAGGAGAATACTTAACAAGCTATTGTTATATGATGAAAATAAAAAAGCAGGAACGAAAGGAAAAAAATATATTTTTTTTAAATTCTCGAGGGTAAATTTAAACCTTAAAAAAAGCATGGAAAATCCTCATTCGCAAGCAGAAAAAATGTTTGAGTCGCTTTTTTTCAGTAGCTAGTATGACGAGTTTCAGATAAAATTAGAGCTAAACGTTATAATCATATTTATGAGTGGAATGTGATGGAAAATTTTGATTGCTCCAAACCATATACATAGGTACACGTTTTATATGGAGTATGAGCATAGTCAGGAAGAAGGAGAGAGGTTCAAGGGGTCTAAACAGAGGCGGGCTATGAATTTGAATAGTGGGGACAAAAAACTATTTTATGGAAAATTAAGAAGGTGGACGAGGTTTGGAATTTTTCATGAAAACCCTAGCAAAATGAAGAAATTTCTGTTATCTTGGGGGGACCTTGGCTACACGCCTAGCTCTAAGAGTCCAATTAAAAAAATAATTTATAACTAAGACCCTCCCATACCCCCCTTATCTCATGAATTTTTCCCTAGCTTCGCCACCGTTCACAAGCTTGAATGATGTTTAATATATTTTTTTTCGACTTCGAAAACAAAAATGTGAACACTTTTGTCAGCATTTCCATCTTGTGGAAAAAAAACTGTGAAAAGCTGAAAACTTATTAACAGGATTTAATGGTTATTCAGCAGATTTGTTGATATGTGAAGCTATTATGAGTTATAAGATTGAAAATTTTGCTGTGGTACTCTTAAATCTAGAATATTTGTTGCTTTCTAAGAACTTTTCTTTAAATTGTTTAATTTTAAAAATTAATGGTCGAATTGCTGATTCTTTGTTGAGGTTTAAAACGTTTGAAAAATTCTTAGAACAATTATTGAAGAATAATTCTATTAACAGCGAATCGTGAAAGGGGGCTGGGAGGCATAAATATTACCAAAATTCTTACAGTTTTGAAATCAAACTATTTTGCAAAATATTCATGAAATTAACATCAGTTTTTGAATTTTCAATAAAATCAATTCAAATGTCATATTTGATTATTGTAATACATTATAGAATTAATTTCAAATGCAGCGATAATCTATTTATTCCTCAAACATACAAAACCACAAAATTTTAATTAAATATTTTGATTATGCTGAAATTATTACAAATTTGTAAATTACAGAAATTATTAGCAAAGTCTGTTCAATAATTTTCACAATATTATTCATATTCACATTTCTAAATTCCTGTCCAATTTGAATGATTTTGATTTTATAAACGAGAGAGAGAATGAAAATGTAATAAAAATGTTCTTATCTGCTGTGGAACATAAACTTCATATCATTTGTGGGATGAATGCGTCCACAAATATCACAAACAGATATCTGCATATCTTCTAATGAAAATGTTTATTTCTGAGAGAGAAAAACTTCAGAAAAAAGAAAACTTTTTATTTCATTTTTTTGATGATTCATGTCTGTCGTCATGTAATAACGTTAAATTCATAAATGCAAAATATTTTCATAGAGTTCGTATACGAGATGTACACAATGTTTGCATCATGCAGTAGCAGCATCAGCAGCAGCAGCTCGAAAAAAAAAATAGAATAAAGATAGATAAAGTTCAGAATTTTTTCGCTCTCATATCTGAAGCTTTTCTAGGAATTTCCATTATACAAATATCTTTCCTCTATATCGCAATGCTCTACGTCACGGATAAAGGTTCAAGAACGTAGCTACAAGTTTTTCTGAGGATCAGAAGAAAGGGTTAAAATTTATTTGAGTGTTCAAGGCGACCCTAGCAACTAGGTTGACCATAGAACCTCGGCTATGCCTCTGAAGTTCTAAAATTTCATGAAAAGTCGATAATTTTTGTAAGAAGAAAGAAAAAGCTTAAGATCCGATAGGCTGGACATATTATAAGGAGACCTGTGGAAGCTCCATTAAATAAGGTCTTTAAATCTGACTTCGTAGATGTGAAGAGATCACGTGGGCAGACAAAGAACTCGTGGAAAGAAGCTGTTAATAGAGACAGTATGGGACTTGGTATTGATAATTGGCAGACGGTAGCCAGCGATAGAGCTAGTTATAGGCGTCAACTAAGGGAGGTCATGGATTACAATTGATCTATACGACCAGCGAAGTAAGAAACAAGAAGCCTCAAAAATCTCATTTTTCTATAGACATCATACACAAACAGCCCCACAAAGACGACAGAAGAGAGAAAAAAAAACAAAAAATAAAATAAAATCTCTATTTATTTTCTTAAATGCGCCCACAAATTTTTATAGTAAACATCACGATAGACGAGCGCAAATGCTCGAAAATAAATCTATGTGTATACATCCATGTGAAGGAACGATAAAAAATCTTTTATTCAATAATTCATAAGGAAAACGAGAGGAGATGGAGGAGAAAAAAGCGAGCTAGAGCATTGCAATATGCTTTTTATCATTTTTTTGCTGTTTTTCAAGCAATTCCGCATATAAAGGAAAATATATACATACACTTATTTTCCTTTTTTTTTTATTTTGGACATACGTAACATAAATATTAAGCAACTCTCTTTTTTCCGTTTTAAGAATTTACAACTTCAATACGTACATTTCCCAATTTCTGGTTTGCGCTGTTCAGCAGCGAAGAAGGAAAATCATAAATTTATAGGAAGACATTGAAAATTTATTTGCGCACAAAAAGGAGCACAAAGATTAAAAATTTAAAAGAAGGATGAAGGAACAAAAAAAAAAGTTGTGTGAAAGAAGAAATGTTCATGCTGATAACAGAACAGATGCAATAAAAAATTTTATAAAGTAAGAATGGCAATAAGAAAAAGAAATGTGCTTTTCATAAATTCAATGGAAATTATCATCCTTTTAGTTGAGATGAAATTCATGCTGTGGGGGTGAAGAATGGCAAAAAGTGTCGAAAAATGGAAATATGGTTTTTTGGTCGTAAAAAATGCTCTGCTTATGATCTATTTAATATTTATTAGCCATGGTTGGTGCATGGTGAATGGGGTTGAATAAAGTTTGAGTCAGAATGGACATTTGTTAATGTTTTTCAATATAGCGACTATAAGGGTATAAATTCTTTAAAATGGCAACCAGTGTATCATTTATCTTGTATATGGTCGGTCTCTGGTGGGAATTGAACCCACGTTTTCTTAAATAAGGGTTACAGATACAAGGTCTGTTGCCTAACCACTTGCGAAATAGAGGCTTAGCTCTGACACAGCAGTGTTCTGGCTGATTCACCTACATATGGCTTGATCCTCCAGATTCTACACTGCTACGATACCACATTAATAAACAATAGGTTTCCAACATTTCGACTAAACTTGACTTTAAAAAGAACCCAAGATCTTTAGAATGAACGTCTAATGCTCTTATACTTAGAAAACTAGCATTTATTCACAGATGTGCATTAGAATCAGTACAAACCTAAAGATACCTTCAGATCAAAATCCACCTGACCCTTGCCTTAACAGCTGTGATAGATTCCTAATCATCAGTCACAATAAATTGATTTCCAACTCTGCATTGTTACATAATCGTTGTTTGAAGTTATTAGTCCTTTGCAGGAGATATTCATAAATTTAATCGAGTTTGAATTTCAGTCTTTGATCTCTTTAGAAAACTGAAGAATTATGGAAATTGATATTCTCATAGCCTCTTTTCAACTCATTCCTCAATAAATTCTTTATCATACTTTTCGCTCCATTGAAATAGAATCTCTCACAAAAAAAAATTTTTTTTTCTTCATGACATTCTCAATGTTTAACCTGATTTTATTAAAAAGCTTTCAGCAACATTTATGTAAATACACGTGCCGATATAAACGTGGATCAAGAAAAAATTTTCACGCAGCGATGAGAAAAGAACTTGAAAGGATGCTTCAACATTTTTTTTTCTCTCTTTCTTAAAAGTTTGATTGAAAGCATTGTTATGGAATGAGCTAACACATTCAACATTAGATTCGCATTTTTGCCTCTCAAGAGTTTTGATATTTACTTTTCTTGTAAGTAAAATTACTTTTTTTTGGGATCTCAATTCAGATACAAGGATGGCTTCTCGATGAATATTGATATCCCAAAGGCTTTCTATGGCTGTGTTACATCGAGATTTGAATTTGAATGGAAAGTTCTAGGAACATGTTTTTGGGTTTTGGTTGTAGAAGAATTTTAAGAAGTTTTGGAAATTTCTACAAATTTTTGAGTTCCTTAATGTCAATTTTAATAAAGGCTAGAGAATTGTTCAATGAATTGGACGGGATCTGAGCAGGGGAGGAGTGAGGATTGTTCTAATGTCTTTCTGTTAACTTGAAACATTTCTAAAATCACAATTGTGTGAAAAAGACACACAATTCTAGATTTTAATGTCGATTTGAGTTCTCTTTGAACCAAAAATTTCTAAAGAATTTGAGGAAACTCGTTGTGAACTCAAGTCAACTTCACCATCTTCAAAAATCTTTAAAAAATGATGCAACTTTTATTTTCAGGGACAAGCTATTAAATTTGGAAAAAAAATTGCCTCAACAACCCTTACCACGTCACTGGATTAAAGATAATTTTAATACAAAACATCCCAAAAATTACAAACCAAAAAGAAATTAAAAACTAATTCTTTGTTATTTCAAGTCACATATTTTTCTACAACCCTTTAAAATGTAAATCATATACAAAAATAAAAAGAATCCATAAAACATGGTCATTAAGTTTATCATTTTCAGCTATTAAAATCCTACTTTACGACTTTTAACTCGCTAAACTATAATTTTTAAACTCATTTCTACAAGTAAAGAGCTTTATGACATCAAAACCTTTCAACTC